CATGCTTTAGTTAAATTATAAGATAATAAATATTATTATTGTTTTTTTGTAAATATGTTGTGTAATACGTATACTATTTACGTTTTATTGTATCTATAAGTTGACCGAAAAAGTTAGAATTAACTGTTTATAATTATTGTATTGTAGTTTTTTAAGTATTTTGGCATAAGCTTCCATGAAATTCTGTGCAAAAAATTAATATCACTTATTGCAAGGAACCATCATATTTGAATAAATAATTTTCCTCTATCTAAAAGAAAAAAATTTCTTAAATGAGTTTAAATATTATTGTAGTACTCATAAATACTTGTTTGTTGAAATATTTTTTGTTATGAATCATTAATTCATCGTTCTTAACCGCAATAATAAGTATAGTATAATTTTTTATTTTATCTGAATAATTATATTACTAACTTAATTTCATCCATGCCATTTATCATAAAGAAAGTATTGAAAACCAAATTAGAGATATAATTTTGCTTTGTGTTATTCACATCATAGGTATAAAGTGGACAAAAAGAGGATCATTATAAATTTAAAGAAACAATACTATACTGAATGACTATTCAAATACGTAACGATATAAACATAATATACACGTATAGCTTATACCAATTCCATTAACACCGTAAAATACATTTATTTTTTTATTAAGAGGTATATTGTATTAAACCCATGATTAAATATTAATGGCGATTTAAATTATAAAATATTCATATGAATTAACTATTACAACCAGTTTTGGTGGTAAAATACAGTTCGTTAATATAATATACTCAAATACCCAAAGGGAAATTACAAATACAATATTATTTAATGTCACAATATTTATGTGATAACAATTAATTGTATGTACTTGTATGTCTATATAAATATATATATATATAATGTAATATTTAGTTTCCATTATACCCAACAGATTGTTAGAAGTCAATTGTACATTTGGTAAATTATTGTTTAAACAATTTTAGTGGCCCAAATTTTAGTTTATAACAGTATTAACGATTAATGATAATGATTCACGCGAGAATTATGTGTGCATCCGTGCTAAATATTGATAATAGTCATGGAATAGTTTGGGGAAATACCAATCATTTAGCAGGAAATGATAACTTAGAACTCGGAAATGACTCTATTTTTAGCGGGAAAATGTTATTATAGTTTTGAATTTACTTTACAGCTTAAATGTCGTAATGAAATAAACAATACACTATGAATTGAAATAATGAATTTATAATAAATTCAAACTTGGAACAATTAAAATATATCAATTTCATGTTGAGTTAAAATCTGAATATCACGTCTTAATTATGAAGTTTAATGAATGGAAAAAAGTAAAAATATATGTATTATGTATATTATGAAAAACAGGATCAAGTAATAATACGTGGTCATGTATGGAAATCGATTTTGGTTAAAATGTTTTGAAATCTTTCTATGGAATTTTTTCTGAAATTTCTTCAATTATTTCACTTGATTGCTTTTTTTTTTAGTATACTCACTTCTTTAGAACCAAAAAATATCAAACCGTTTTTGTTTATTTTCATCCCTTTATCACAACTATTGTATATATTCTAACTCTTCTGTTTTCGAACAATGGAATGCAATGTAAAGCTCATAAAATAAAAACAATATAATCTTTTACATTAAAAGAAAATTAATAAATGTTGTATTTATTTTGAAGTAATATTGTCAAAGTATTTATTAACGTATCAATGATTAGATAAGTTCAATTCTTAAGGAAATAAAGTATAATCCTTTAACATTTATATTTAAAATGTATTTACTAAAACTAGCATCTATTCCTTCCGATCACTTTTTTTAAGATATTTGTTTGTGTGCCTACTGTTTATACATTTTAAAATAATGCTGTTGTTAATTAAAATCTTTATACAATACTTTTTTGTCAGTGTAAGCTTATGCAAATTGAAGTGAATTAAAATGCTATATTTGTATAAAAGTACAATAAATTAATTTTATAGAAATATAAAATAGCGTTTCTTTAATATTACGCTGCTACTTACTTACATTAATTCAGTCGTTATAGAAGTTTTTCATATAATTTATTTTTTTTTATTACTTTTAAAAATTAAATTATAAAAATATAAATACAATATACATATTATAATATATTTTTATATATGAATTAAATTTAAATTCAGAATTTTTTTTCATTTCGATGAACTTTGTATCATCTAAAAATGTTTTATAAGTTGGCGTCCCATTTTTAATATTTTACCTAAGCTTTTTGTAAAACGGTTGAAATGTAAACGTTTCAATAAGAATCATTCGCCCCCGAAAATTTTTCGTTAATAAGTAATATATACGTTACATATATTATAATATACAATAAAAATACTTATGCAAATAATATTTTTTTGATTTATATTTTTATGATTATTTTATTGTTATTATTATTATTATTTTTTTAAAACTTTTATTATTGTATAATATAATATATAAGTTTAATAATCGTATAGCAACGAATATGCAAATAAAACTTATGTAAAACGTTAAGTATTATAAAATTATAATAAAATGTGTGTTCATTGAAATATTAATAATAATATTTGAACGGTAGAAAAAAAATATCTGGATGACGATGAACAACTGTATTGTGATTTATTATCGAAATCTTCTTCGTATGATTACATGGATTACCATAATGAATACAACGCGGAAACGATTGAAACAACAAATAGAAAATCAAATAAATTTAACTTATTTTCGACTCATCTCGTGTGGTGATCGTTATGTTTTGCGAACGCCATACAGTTTCGGAATAGCAATAATAATAACAACAAAAACAACGAAATGATGCGTTTTAGGATGTAGATAGATAATGGAAAGAGAGTGAGCGAGTGAGCGAGGATGAGCGGCGAATGGCAAAGATATTGCCGTCACCATAATGTCCTGGGGACTGGGAATAATAATGGTCTGGTGGTCGTGGGGAGAGTGACTAGAAGAATTGGGGGGTGGAGGTGAAGTTTTCGTCGCGCGTGCGATGAATTCGGATCGGATACTTTAGTATATTGTATAATGTAATGTCTTGTTTCCAAAATATTTGCTCTGCTTTACACATCAGTCTGGAGGGTCGCCGATTCACGCGGCACATGATGAGGCTGACCGTCATATACGAAAAGATACATTTAAATTTTTCAAAATAACTCTCTCCCTACAGCAATGGTTTCGATTTATATGTAGGTTCTTTGGAGGCATTCCATATCGGATATGCATTGTATAGAATCCATCATGACTTGGCTCTGCAAAATTAGTAACCTTAGTGCAATCACTCAATATACCTGATACATGTTATACTATCCGAGTAAAGTAAGTTCAACCTTTTGTATACATTCTGGCCGTGGCCTAAAGAAACTTCACGACGTTTTGATCGATGTCCTCATTTATTTTATCCTCAAAAATATTCGTTTACGCTTTAGTGCAAACGTGATTTTTTATTTTTTTATACAAGTTCGTTTTTTATTTTTTATAGTAAACTCGTTTTCTTGGAAAATCTAAACGTTTTGGGATATAATTTCTTATTTCCTACATAATAAGAATTTGTTACAAAAAGTTCTCGAAAAAGTTGCTTTTAAAGTTGATTACTTTTTCAGTGACAGTATATATTTTTAATTTCATATTCTAAAGCAAAACATTTTTCTCAGAATAATATTTAAAAAAAAATAATTCAAACGAGGAGGAGGTAATTTATTAGTTATGACTATTTAAAGTTCATAAAAACGGAATGAAATAGTCCATTTATATCTTTAAAAATGTATGTCCACCACTCTGCTCACCAAAACTGTAAACATACTTATAAAATAGGTAACTGTTCTCATTTGGAATTTGATTTTATATATTCAAATTTCAAATTCTCAGGAATATAATATTTCGCTTGGGGGTATGGAATTTATAATATTATTTAAAACTATAACTGTTAAAAAATAGCAAATAAAATTATTAATACTTTTTGAAATAAATGAGCTCAATTACTTTTGAAATAATCATTCTGTATATACTCATCTGTTATAATAAATCGTGAAAAAACATTGATCTGTTATTTTATATTATTATTTTTAACTTTTCAGATGATTGACTGCGCATGTTTTTTGTACACTTCCACGATAGGTTCACGTAAAATCACGAGTAATTTCTCTAAATTCTCGCCCGATAAAATATCGCACGGACTTTCAAATGTTTTCTGTCACGTCGGTCGTCGAATTCCTTTGGGAACCATTCGGCGCAAATTACTTCTTTCATGCACTATAACGCAACGTTAACCGTTCTGAAGGGATTGTGTTTACTCGGTATACTCGCTGTGTAACACCGACTGGAATGATATGTTTGATTTGAATATCCGATCATGGTATATTGAACTATATTATAATCTCTTTTTACTGTTACGTTGCTCTTTCCAGACATATTTTCAGAGTCATTTCTTAAAGACTCACATTTTACGTGCAATAAACTTCATTTGAAATGGCTTTGCGTCACGTTATTATATTTCATCACAAGCAATGAAATATACGCTTTTATAAGAAATAAAGTTAACAGCTTATAATACGCATATCGTATAATGCTATTATACTGTTATTACCAAATGGCGGATAATAGTTCATTCGTTGGCTTCATAAAATTAGGTTTAAAAAATAAAAGTTTGACATATTCATAAGAATAAACAATAATAATACTAAATGTCAAGTACAGTTAATGATAAAAAAATAATTTCTGCTGGATGGAGGGCTTAAGAAAGTATCAATTAATATACTAATGAATGATTTAAGATTATTGCATTATCATCTATCATATTTTTGTAGGTAGATTTAAACAAAAATTTACTGGTTCGTGAAATACGTAAAACATTTCTATTTATTGACATTTTGGAAATTAATACATTATCATAATATTTGTATTCACCATTAATGGTTTCGGCTACTCAGAAGGCAGTCACTTCTGAGTTTCAATTAAACGTAGAGCTTAGCGCTTTAGCCATCACTCACCTTGTAAATATCCAGATGTCCGCAGTAAGCGTCAAACTTGTTGTACAAGGACTCCAACATGTTGACAACCATGAACGGCGTGGCAGTGCTACAGATAGACGTGAAGCCGACGATATCGCTGAACAACATGGTCACCTCGTCATGCGTTTTCGCTTCGATGGTTTCTCCTGAAAACCATAAAATACATTAATACATTAAATATGTTTTTTTTATGAGCTATAGATAGTGTATCCTTTGAATTGGATATTTACTTTTTTAAAGGAAAATTGTACAATACCTGAAGCATATTTAGGTACAATAGTTGTCTGACTAAAATTCCCAAATTGATTTTCCATAATAATAAAATATAATTAAATTCAACTCGTTTTATTTTTACTCCAAATAAATAATATATAGTAATTATACGCAGAACAATCATTTCTTATTAAAGTTTAATAGTGTATCGAGATTTAATAAGTCACAATCGTAAACAACACAGTTCCTAATAACAAATGCGATGATTTTATTTTGAAGCTTATTTATTTTACATCTATATTGATTGCCTTTAAAATTACATTTAATTTTATAAGTGCTCGACTGGCAATAATAATTGTATGAAACGTCTACTAATGGTTTATATGATTTCCGTGAATGTTGATTTATATTATGTGAATTTATAATATATCATCGCAGTAGAGACCACTGCGGTGTACTGCTTTCTTGCAGAGAACGCGATGTCATACCTATTATGTACACGTGCGAGTGACGTGAATATACCGCCAAAAGCGTGAGTGCGTTCGACGCGGTTAAAACGCCGCTACATAATATTATGAAAATATATGCTGTATTCGTGACATATTACGAGTGACACGTTCAAGGTTCAAAATTCTATCAGAGTAGCGTTCTGTGATTGTAACGATTTCGTAAGCACACGCTCCGACGGCCATTCAATGTTGACGTTTAGTCAGCTTCATTACAAAAACAACGACGATGATGCACCGTTATAACAACAGTTAGCGCTCACCCCACAGGTATTGTCGAGTTTCTGATAAAAGCTGTATAATTAAATATTGTGTGCAATATGTATAGACTCGATAATAGAATATACAACCAGGCGCGCCATGACGTAGGGCCGAGCGAGTTCGTCCAGTCCCGAGAGACAGCCAGGACTTTAATCTATGACTGGCATACATTATGTATTAATGTATAATTCGATGTTGTTGTTGTTATTATTACTATTGTTTATATTTAATCAACGAAACGTGTATAGGTCGATGCGAGCTCCGGACAATAACTGCCTCGGTGGCTCAGTGTACCGATAATATTCGCATTCGATATCCTATTATATGGGTGCGCGGAAGACATAATATTATTGTATTTAAGTATGGCGTGAGGCCTGCGTGTGTCCGAGCCAATTTGTATGGGTAGGATAATAATGTGCGCTATGAGGATAAGTATGGATTATTTGAGACACCCTCTCCCATCCACCGATATAGACGCAAAGTGAGCGCGTAACGTTTTCGATTCTGAGCGATGCGACGAGTGCAACGGATTTTATGCTGATAACGTTTTATTTTTTATTTTTAGTGAACTATTTTGTTGCGTATTCGAAAAATGGAAAAGTTTCGAATTTAGTTGACGATTTATCGGTGAATTATATATCGGTAATTTTCGATTCTCTTAATAAATATCTTTACAGTTAATACGGTTTTTCAAAACGTGACGGAAAACTAACAGTCAGAACTGTCAAAATTTAACCGACTTGAACCAGCTTTGTATGTTATTAAATATTTTTTTTTATTTTTTTATTTTTTTTTTTTTAATTGTAATTTTTGCTTAATATGATTTAATCATACACCATCATTGTGGAACTACATGCTCTCGTATTTCAGATGAAGACTTCAAAGTCTAAACCCGTTTTTAATTGTCATTTTAATTTTTGCTTATACTTTTAAATCAAATATTAACAAATAATCTAAAAACATGTTTATATTTAATACATTGTATGGTGTGGACATTAATTGTTGATTTTAGTTTAAATTTTCTAAAATTTCAAAAAACGGTTTTTTAACATGCCATATGAGTGACCAACTCATTTTCACGAAATTCCGCTATATGTTATTTCTTTTTTGAACTTATTTAGTTTACTAATCTATGAAAAATACCATTTTTAATTCATAAAATATTTTTAAGCTCGTAAGAAACTTAAATTGTACATGTTATCTATTTCTTACAAACTTACAGTGTTGAAGTAACTATCGTAACTATATTTCTTGATTGGTCAGATATAAACAATATAAAAATAATCATTTTCAAAAATATCGTTTAATGTATGTTTCATTATTAATTTTAAATAATTATCAGTAAAATATTATGATTTTAAATATTTATATTTATCAAATATGAAATAAAGTAAAAAAACATATTATTTTAGCTATTATTTCATCTAATAATTTTCATTATTGTATAGATACACTACAATAAAAATTGACACGTATAATTGAAATTAACTATATGCATACGAGTATTTTAATTCCCTACACGAGTTTAATTAAATTTAATTGTAGCATTAATCCTCTTAACATGCTTGATTCAATTTAAGAAAAAAATAAATAACTTCAAGTATAATTTTTGAAAAAAAAACAACAGGACTCATTCATTCTATTACATAAAAGGTTTTAAGTAAAAGTACCTCTCCATTAAGAAGATGACTAGAATGAATGTAAGTATTCATTTTTTAAGCATCTGAATCACAAATATAATTTATGTTATCATATAAAAATAAAAACAGTAGACAATTATTTTAAACGCCTTCAGATGGTATAAAAAGATCTGAATTATTTTAAAACCTATGCCATGTATAGATAAAGAATGCTATCATAGATATTTTTTAAATATTAAGTCTCTACAATTATTTATTTTTTGAATTAAAGTAAAAAAAAACAAAAAACAAAATTAATTTTTGAAAAAATTGTTTTTATATAGATACTTATTGGGTTTTCGTGTATATATTTTTTTTATTTATCCTGATTATTTTAAAAAGTTTTCAGAAACTATTCAAGTAAAACCAATTTTATATTCACTGTTCCACTGAGAATCTAAAATATGAGATATCGAACAATACATAATATTATTGACGCTACAAACAAATCATTCTAAGGTTTGCGTTATATGCCACATCAGTGATTTCAATAACATAGTGTTTATCCAATGAATTTTGAATTTGTGTTTATTTTATGTAAGTTGATATGGTTTTTGTTACTAATACAATATACGTATTGGTAATTTTTTAACAATTTTATTAGTTTTGATAAATTATATTTTTTGGATATATGTATATATTACCCAGATCGCTCATTTGATATTTCTGTTAATCAAAACACAAACAAATGTAAGTTATAAATTGTGATTATGATATAGTTTTTCTAAATATGACAAAGCATTGTAGTGATGAACTGATGCATATCAATATTAATTCTACAAAAGGCAGTCAGTTTTGTATCTATTACTAATATTGATTTTATTTTTGTCAATATTACGAAATTGAATCCATGTGATTTTTCATTACTATCAAGCTAGTTTTTCAACAATAGAATAAACGATGACAAAGGAAAAAATATGAGGAATTCCTTGAACACAATAATACACATTCAGCAAACACAATTATTATCAATATTATTTTATTGACACTATTGAATTATTAATGTAATAATAGTATGTAATATAATAACGTAATAAAACCGTTATTATCGCAAAAAATAATAATATAATTATAAATATATATAATCAGTTTCTGGGATTGAAAACTAAAATAAAGTATAAGCGAACGAATCTCAAAAACATTATATTTATAAAACTGTTATTTAGGAAATATTATTCTATTCTACCCTTTTATATTATAATGTTAAAATTTAATAATAATCAAACACTTAGGTTATTCTATGACAACTTAAGTATCAACTAAATACTGAAGGATAATGAATTAGGTTTAGTTTTTTAATTTTTAGGCCCTACATCATCATTCTTCCAGAATAAAATTTAAATAAGATTTTATCCCAGTAATTTACATTTTATTTATTATGTAATAATTATGATCGCAGGCCGATTTAGGTATAAAATTTAACTACATTTATGTCTTGAGCGTATTTTTTAGCTACTCCATACGATTGATATACTTTGTCATTCAATTTCAATATCAATTATATAAGCATTTCTTAGTTAAATGAATAATTTTTTCACAAGCTATATTTAAGATTAAAAAATATAAATCTTAAATTATTGAAATTTTTTTTTTAAAACTACAAGTCAACTGTTTCATTGAACTCTATTCACAACGTTTTTGGAGGTTTTAAAAAAACTATTTTACCAACGAGTCAACATTCAAAAGTATAGAGTTAACAAATATTAAACGGATTAAACAGTATTCAAAATGCATAAAATATAATTAATTAGACTACTAAATATGACGTGTATATTATAATTTGTTGCATGAAATAAGTTTTTTTTTTCTTAATCGTAGTAAAAAACTTTATTAAAAAATACACAATATTAAATTTTTCTTAGAATAATGTTTTTATATAATCCACCTCAAAGCTCTACGTTATTAAGCGTGTGTTCAAAATATATTATAAGCATCGTTAAAATACGTGTATAACTCCGAAGCACGGGCGAATGAACAATTAATAACGACATTAACATAATATAATATGGCAATAATTTATTTTTAGATGGGAATATTTTTACTTGAAAACATTTAATACAGATATTAACATATTTTTATAAATTATATTCAGAACTCAGATAGACTTTACCCTATTGAATCAATTTCATGTCTTTGTACTAAAATATCTGACATTTAAAGAATGATAAAATAATTTGGAGTTTAAAAACATAAATTATATTAAATCTAAAAAATATTATCATTAGGTACATAATAAGTACATAACGACCCAAAGATGTCTATATCTAATGATTCATAGACCCTATAATGACCCTTAACATGTTTTTGCTCTCAAAATCTTGTTTAAAAAAAAAGTATTTTATGTATTTATACCTGTATTTACAAATACATTATTTATTTACTTTATTACTATTATTATTTATTATTAATAAATATTGCTATCATCAGTATATTATTTAAGTCATAGATAATATCTAAAAAGTAAATTATAACTTTTTGATTAATATT